TTATCCTCTTTTTGTTAAAGAAAACTTTCTTTCTAAAGTATGTTATCATTTCAAAATTTGACAAAGAATAAAAAATATTATTTTTTAACGTTAGGATCTCAAACTAAACTCGGGTAGATTGTTGTTTAAAAAATAAAAATTGAAAGAGAATGTAAATAAATTATCTTAATGAAAAATCCCATATTTGTATTTCTTTCAACTTTCATATTCAAAATCTAACTAGATTTGTTTTAAAACAACAATTCTAATTGATTTTAGTTCAGAATTTTATAACTAAACAATAATTTTTTTTTAATTCTTCATCAATTTTTAAAATTTTAGAATAATTCACAAAGAAAGTTCTTAAAAACAATATATATATATATATATATATATATATATATAAGTCACTAGTTGACGGAAGTAATTGATTGGTAGTTTAAAAAAAATTGATATATTTTCAAAAAAAAATTAAAGTTCAAAAAATATATATAATTTAGTATTTAAATAAGTTATCATTTAACGAAGTACTTAATTGATAGTTTTAAAAAATTTGATATATTTAAAAAAAAAAGAATTAAAGTTCATGTAATCTATTAAAAAAGAAAAAAAATTAAAATTCATATATGTGATTGATGATTCTAAAAAAATTAGTGTATTCAAACAAAAAACATTAAAATTCATGTATTCCATTGAGAAAAAAACATAAATTTGTAATTTTGTATTCTGATGGTAACATATATGTTATCAGTTAACAAAAGAATTAACAAAATATTTAATCAATAGATTTGAAAAAGTTCACATACTTAAAAAAAATTAAATTTATGTATTTCATTAAGAAAAAATTGGAAGTTGTTATCATTATTAATATATAATCATAAGGGTGGAAAGGCAATTCTATCCCTGGCGCATGGACTTGGCACCGCCACCATTTGTTAAGGACAAGGACCACTGTCTCATAAGTCATAATGCGAGTGGCAAAGCAATTTGTCCATCACCTCTTAGATTGATTTACCAAAAAAGTTCTTAACAACAAAATATATATATAATTTGATATTCAAAAAAATCATTAGGTAACGCAGTTGATTGATAGTTTTAAAAAATTTAATATATTTTTTCAAAAAATTAAAGTTTATGTATTTTATTAAAAAAATAAAAATAAAATTCATTTACTTGATTGATTGTTCTGAAAAAATGAATATATTAAAAAAATATTAAAATTTATATATTCTATTGAGAAAAAATATAAAATTGTAATTTTGTATTCTAATATCAATAGATACGTTAACGAACTAATCAACAAAAAATTTCAATTAGTACATTTGAAAAAGTTCACATACGTAAAAAAAAAATTAAAATTTATGTATTTCATTAAAAGTTGATGTATTCAAAATACAGTTATCGTTATTAATACATAGTCATAAGGCAATTCTATCCCCTGGCGCGTGGAATTGGCACCGCCACTATTTATTAGAGAGAAGGGACCACTGTCTCATGATGCGAGTGGCGAAGCAATTTGCCCATCACCTGTTAGACCCAAAATCATACAAACTTTTTTATGACAGAGAGCGAAAGCACAGACCTGGCTGATACGGCTTTTTGACGTATTTACATTTGATTGTAAAGGTTAAGATAGTCTTTTCGATGTTATTGGGTTGGAATTTGGATGAGGACAACCGACCAAGAGCACAGAGAACGGTATGAAAATTTAGAGGTGCATAATGTATCAATATTTTTAAAATGGACTGACAGGTAAGAGGAGGATTGGTCAAAGAATCAAAATTCACTTTCCCTGTTCCTTATTTTTGACCTTTGTTAGAAACGGAGAGAAGAGACAGAAGGCTAGTTTTTAGCTTTCCTAGTTTTTGGTTGGAAAACAAAACTAACCCCTCGATTACTTTTAATTCTACAAAGGCTGCAATTTTTAGTCACAGCTTCCTAAAACGTGCGTTGTGGGCTGGACCTAGCAATTGTTGAGTTCGTAAGGTGTGAATTTAAACTTTTCAAAACAACCGTGGTCAGCTGGTTAAACATTTATGTACGAGCGTGGCGTGCATTGGAGGAAGAGAAAGCTGTAAATTTGGTACTCTAGCTTTTGATTAATTTTCAATTTGATCAGTATCCAGCCTCCAATTTTACCTATTTAAGTTGCTCATCTCTAAATTTTTTTCCAATGTGCTAACCAGATGAATTCCGTTAGTTAAGGGGTAACATGACCATTACCTCGCGCTATATTTGTGGACCTCTAATGGAAAAGAAGAAAATAATCACTTAGCAACTTAACTTTTATTGAATTTTTATTTGAGTGTCTCAACTTCAATTTTATTTTTATTAATATTTCAATTTTATTTTTTTAATAATGCAGCGTTCTTCGTTTCTTCGCTATAGATGTAAGAAAAGTGGTGATATTACTGTTATGTCGTTTGTCGTGACAAAAAGCATATCAATATTGAAAAAATCATAATAAAACACGATCGAAATGAATAAAATCTGAGATAAAAGATTAATAAAAAATAATGACAAATAACCATTTTAAAAGCGAAACTAAATAAAAATCAAATTTTGGTGACCATCGAATGTTTCGATAGATTGAAGACCACCGAAATCTTGAATAATCGTCGATCACCGCCAGCAATACAAATTAAACACCATTAGTCTTGCTCATTGATCTAAATGAGTGTTGCTTCGGGTTTCAATGAAAGAGGGTGAGTGAGAGATGGGGAAAATTAGCGAGTTTTGAAGTTTTCTAATATTTTATACATATTTTATTTTATTCTTAATTTAATTTGATTTTTTTTTCAATATTATTGATTTAATTCATTTTCTCATTTTTTCATTCCAAATCCATTTTTTGGATCAATGATTCAATGTGCTTTTATATAACAGGACCATTCTCTAATTTTTATCGTATTTTTATTTGAATTAATTTTATTTTTAAATATATATTAAGTTTTAATTTATTATTTTGACAAAATTTTTAGATTAAACAATCAAAATTAATCTAGTAATTTGTATATAATTATTTTTATTCTCAAATATTATTACAAATCAAAAAATTAAATGCTTTCATGTACAAATCAAGTTACTCATTTTAATGGTTTATTTTGAAAATTTTGTTAGCATGATAGGTTTGAAACTTTATGTATATTGAAGTATAAAATTATTTCAATTATATATATATTGCTATGTAAAATAGATTGAGTTATTAACCTTTTTTTTTTTAATCATATGACGTGAGGTACAAATTAAAGGATCACTTTTCTGATGTATTTTGCAAAAATTACCCTGTTAAAAGAATATACATACATATACACACGCGCGCATATATATATATATATATTAGTTAACAAACACGGTGGAGATGGATAGAAGCAGGCTCATTTGCAAGCAATGGCCGCTGCACACCCTGGGCAACAAGATAGCTTGAGAGGACACCATGACTAGCCAAATTTCCTTTCCTTTTTCGTTCTGACCACTAGAAATCTAATCGAGTTGGTAATTAGTGATTATATCGTATGTCTTGCCTCTAGCGACTTACTGACGAAGTTAACAAATACCAAGATTCTTCCAGGGGCAGTATACTAGAAGATGCAAAGTTGAAATTGAAAATACACAACATTCAAATATGTTTCCACCTGGAAAATGCAATATGGAATAGGTCAATTATCGTTCATAAAGAAGAAGAAGAACAATAGGTCAAATAAGGATTTTGACATAGGCAATAAAAATTGTTTGAATATTTTGATCGACAGGAGACAATAAAAGAAAATGATCTAATTAGCGCCGCTGACAACAGAGAAGGATTCAAGATGACGGGTCATCATTTGGCTTCTGGTCAACTTCCAAATCCGTAAAAACTGATCTTTGTTTCATTTATCAAGTGGCCGTAAGCATGAAACTTTTTCTTGAGAAGAGTCGTTTGAGAAAAGGGAGGGAAAGTTGTTGCCGCTTTGTTCGTATCCATGAAAGCAAAGGCTTGCTGTTAGGCTAATTTGTCAGCCCAGGCCCCAGGGACCATTTTCCTGAATAGTATTATGGCATCACCCAACTCATATCTCAACTATTTTTTTTTTTTTTTTAATTTGATTGAAAACCCAAATCTCATGTCTCAATTTTTAACCAATTACAATTAATTAGCGCATATAATACCATTTTTTGTTATTACCTCGGTGATTGCATTGCTGGACACAAAAAAGTCAAAACATGCCACTCAAGAATGAGCTTTATTTATTTCGAGAGCATGAGCAGCCAAGACATTTACTTGCCTAAATAGACTAGACGGATGCTTCCCATTCCTCCAAAAATTTGTAGAATCAAAGAAATCGTAAACGTAAAATTATAACTAGTGCCCAAAATAAGGAAATTAAGATTCATATTCCCACTAATGTCTCTTAACCTCTCAACAATCAAAGAATTATAGAATATCGTTGAGAATGGGATTTAAATCATGATTTTCAAGCAAAGCTATCGAGGAATCCTATACTAGAGGTTAATTGATTTTCACAAGCATTATGGAATATGCCTAGGACAGATAAAACAAGAATCATCAAGAAGATAACGCAATTGTGATGGGGTTTTTATCATGCACGGACCACGACATCTTAAACTGCTGCTGCGGTGCAATTTTTCAATAGCCTCAAGGCCAAAGGCCAAAATTCACACTAATGAGATGGAATTTGAAAGAGAAGGATAAACTTTTAAGGAATGAGGCAAAAATGCCGAATGCTCTCTTTCTAAAAGGATTGCATAAGCTTGGTTTAATGATACATCTTTTGCTCAGATTAAGTTTTATATATATATATATATATAAAACTTAATCTGAGCAAAAGAGAAATTCATTGACCTAGCAAAAATCAAGAATGAACTCAACAGTTGAGATTTGCAATGTTCAAGTGCAAGAGGTTATATAAGAAGTAAAAGTCTAGTTGCTGGCAGAAAACATGTCCTTTTCCAACAAAAAACGTTACACAAAGTAAAAGAACTGCTCCAAGTGTTATGATAATTAAACAAACAGCAATTCACTAAACAGCTTTCTTATCTGCTGATTTGGATTTGTTTGCAGCTTCAGAACGTTTGTCCTCTGTCATCTTTGATTCAATTTCATCCCTCTCCCTGATATATTTCTCAAAAGCCCCAGGAAGGAATTTCGGAATCAAAAAGAAAAAAAGATTGATCGAAAAATATGCTAGATTGGCAACTGCTAGACTCCTCCCGAACCAATACCAGGCAATGTCCTGAATCGACCACATGAAATATGTTAAGTCAATCAACTCTCGTCCAGATTAAACTTGATTAAATTATGGAAAGAAATCAATTAAGAAGTATGTACCTTAACTTGAGCAGTTGCTGGTAGAGTTTTGTTGAACCACACATCGTTAATCCAATCAATGATAACAAAGATCCTCCTGACTGTATAAAGCATGGGTACTAATACCCTCACTGGTGGCGAAAACAATGATAGACCACTTATTATGTTCTCAGTAAGGATCTGAAATGAGAGCAAGAACAAGTGAGGTGTTGCTGACCGGACTGCATGATCATCACTCCTTGCAAACCCACCCAACACATAGGCTAGTGGCAAGAACAGCCCTATGGTTGTTCCCATGATGACGTAGAACCTGAAAAATCTGCTTCCTTGGAAGATCTCTGATGAGGTTCTTCCATATGAAGGGAAGGCAAAACGCGAGAGGGCTAAAAGATAAGCAGAGGCAAAGGCTGGGAAGACTAGATCAAGTAGTGGGACAAGGCCACTAACTGAGAAAACCATGATGAAGGCTATTAGTTGAAGTTCAATAACACGCAACGATCCCATTACTCCTCCAACCACAGAATTCTGCTGCTGCTGTTGCGGAGCCTTTTGCTGAGGCTTTGTGGCTGAAGGTGTGGTTCTATCAGGCTCACATGGCGGAGTCACAGCGAGAGAGACACCCGACATTTTCCCTTTAACTTGGTATAAATTTCTCTGTATTAAAAGTTTGTGTGGTAATTCAGAATAAGATAGCATGAAAATATGAATGATTATCCATACAGAAATCTATCAAAATGAAAGAGATTGACCATTGGGATTTAAAAAGAACCGAAAAAGAAAAGAGGAGACAGTTATTAATGTATTATCATCCTAAACTACAATTGGAGAATTATCCAACCTAAAAGGTAAAGATAACTAACACAGGCTAAAAAATTGCTGATATGCAAAGAAACAAAAGGAGATCAAAAAGTTAATATTCATCTGATAAAGATAGCATTAATGTTATAAACTCTAAAGAAAACAGAAGCATCAAAATGAAACCACGACAGTGGTACAATACGGCAATACCAAAAATTAAAAGATTAAGGAAGAACCTGAAACAAATGGATAGATCGTTCGAGAAGAAGAAGAAGGAGAAAAGAGAGATCTTACTGATAAATGCAAATGAAAGAATCATTCAAAAGTCTGATCCCCGAATAGAGAGGGTCGTGGATGAAGCAGTGGAGTAGATTTTGTTGTGTTAAAAATGTATAGTAGCGGTGACTGTGCTGCAAGTGTAATTCCCATAACGTGCCAGGTGGCTGCTCTTACACGTGGTATACTGTCAGCTTGACACCTGCCAAGCAACTATTTTTAGGATTGAATTCGAATTGCTAGCTGTTTCAGGTCTCAGTGCTGTGCTCATCATCGTATATATCGCAATTCAACCCAACAATTTTCATTGGGCCTATGTTGCTGGGTTTAATTTAGACCTAAGGAGCATAACCAAGGTTGAAAGTCAGTTTTGGAGCTTCAGCCCAAACCTCATTCATAGCAATACTGACTTTTGTTTTAATGTGTGCCGCAGCCCTTCCTTAAGGTACTTATGATAATATCATTACATTACAAGATATGCTAAAACAAAATGGGAAAGTGCTGTAGCACTTTCCCTATTCATTTCCTGTTTACGTTTTCCTTTCTCCCACCCCCTTCTCTGTTACAGTATTTTGTTTTTTTTTTTAATTTTGATAATTAAAATTTTATTATATTTGATTTTTATCCGTCTAATAAACTAGTTTTTTTTTCCCTCTTGATGCATTTTTTAAGCTTCTCTTTTGACTTTTAGTGAATTTTATTTTTATTTTGATCCTTATTTTATAACTTTTTTTTTATTTTGGTTATTAAAATTTAATTATATTTGATTTTTTCCCTATAATAAATATTTAATTTTTTTTTATATTTTGATCATTAAAATTTTATTATGTCTAATTTTTGTCCTTATAGTAAATCGATTTTTTTCTCTTCAAGCATTTTTTTTAAGCCTCTCTTTTGGCTTTTAGCGAATTTTATTTTAATTTTACTCCCTGTTTTGTAACATTTTATTATTTTAGTCATTTAAATTTTATTATATTTGATTTTTATCCCTATAATAAATTTTTTTCTTGACTTTTAGTAAAACTATTCACGAGTCTTATTCTTTATATGTATATATATTGCTTTTAGTGAAAGTTTTTTTTTTTTTTTATCCTTCTTTTATGATCTTTACTTTGTTTTGATCATTTAATTTTTATCGTATGTATTTTGTTGGATCAAATTCTCAATTTGATAAAACTTTTTTGTCTTTTTGTTTTGGATGGTCTTTCTATCTTGTTAATAAATTACAAATGAAGAATATATGATAAAAATTAATCATTTAAAATTCAAAAAACTATAACATTATTATTTTAATTACCAGTCATTATATATTTTTTTAATAAAATACATGTTTATATCAAACAATATCTAATTAGCAACATTATATTACTCAACTTTGCAACTTTTCGTTTAGCTAATCCTACGACAAAATATGAGATATATGTTTTAATTTTTTTTAATTCTTTTTGAGTGATCCTTTTAAATAATTATTTTTAAATTTTAAATTTTATATAAAAGAACACATAAGAATGTTTTATAACTCATCTCGAATGTTTTTCACGTGCCCTTTTAATTAATTGTTTTTAAATTTTTTATTTTATATGAATGACTACATAAGAATATTGTATTGTTCATCCCGTGGTTAAATGCGGGATATATGCTAGTTCTGACTATATTGACATGAAAGATAATTAGGAAGCCACGAGAAAGGTATCCAATTCAAAATCTTCCTCCCTTGCTTCTTGTCAATTCGCTCATTAATTAGAAACCTAGGCAATATATTTCTCAAGATTAATACTAACTAGTTGAATTTTTATGTCTGCACAAAAAATAATCTAAGTACGTTTTGCATTTTTTTTTTTATATGCTTGTTATTTGCTAATGACATGCCATTTGAAGGGGAGAGTCCTTGATTATTGTTGGCTAGATATGAAGCTCGATTTTATAAAATTTTGAAGATCAATACATCCAAGCGAGCTCACATAAGATATCGTGGCATATGCAAAGGATTATCAAGCTATGAGGTTAGTTCCCTCAAATATAGGCCAACTTAATTAAATATTTGATTTTACAAGATAAGATTAATAAAAATGCTTGAATGGACCAAAACAATTATTCAAACCAAACGACCATGCTAAGTATGCAACTATGCATTTGCATTATCATTTAACCACTAGGCACCAACATGCCATGAAAACAATTTTTTTAAGATTTACTATTTAAGATGAATTAAGATAAATCTTTGATCATATATTATTAGATATTTAGCTTTTTAGTTTCATCCAATTACTATTATTAGTTCTATACTTGAAGTGGAGGTGGATCTAGAATATTATATTTATTTTAAATAACTAGTTTTCAAGTTTCTATTCTCATGAATTCTTATATATATATATATATATATATATATATATATCATGATTGTTTTTAAAGAGAAATTATTACTATCACTTTTTTTTATTGAAATATTATGTTTTTTTTATTATTATTAAGAGGTCCATTAATCTTAAAGTATTCAATAGAAAATAATCATCATTCATTATAAATTATTGCTATCGAATACACAATTAAACTATGTCAGTTGGTTTTCTTATAACAATTCGTCAAATTAAATATGATTAATTGAATTTTAAAATCAAGAAAAGAGTTAACGTAATAACTAAAATCTCGCACCATGAAAAATAAAATAAATAAACAAACAAACAATTACCTGGGGTGGATCTGGACACAGATCATCTAGCAACCCAGTCCATGGACCCGCATCCAATAAATAAAGACAAAACCAGTACAACATCGGGGTAGGGCTGTTGTTCTGGCCATGGAGCAGAAGACAAAACGTATTCTGGCTGTCGTCCAAGCCCCGTGACGTAATGGGTCCCTTTATATCAACATTTTTGCTAATCTACATGTTAATCCATAATAGATGTTAAAATAATTTAAAAATGATAATTGTTACATCAATGATCGAATGGTAAGATTTATTGCACCGTGATTCTAAAAGCATTCTAATATAATAAATACCAGAAGACTTAATTAGTATAAAAATTAAATAAATAAAGACATAAATATCCCTAACATTTTTCATTGTGTGTGTCTATATATATGAGATGTTGATATTCTTATTTTTATATATATTTATAGGAATAGAATATTTTCGAGTAAGCTTTTATGTCAATTAAAATTAAATTTATTACTTTCTAAACTAAATTAATGTTGGATCATGCCTAGCATTTTGTCAATTCTTATGGGTCAACCTTTTAAACCTATCAATAACATATGTCTAATGTCATATAAATAAGAGAGATAAGTTTTTCTAATAATCAAAATCAATATTTGAACCTAATGAACCAAAAGTAATTTTCTTACTATTTGTAATAACACACTTCACTTTATAATTAGCATAAATATGCAACTTGGTCCCACTCTATCTCATCACTTTGATTTTTTTTTTTTTTTTTTGGCATTTGATTATGTATATTTCTCACCTTAATTTTAATCAGAATTTTTTGTCTAAGAAATATTTTTTTTAAATAACAATTATGATTATCATCATGTTAAGATAAAAACTCCAATAATTTAGTAGTTTCTATCATTAGTACTCCTTTTACTAAAATGTCATGTGATATAGTGAGGATTTTCTTAAATATTTGTGATCTTGTAGGTGCAATATTTATGTATTAGGAGTTAATTTGTTGTTTATGTTATGCTACAGCCTACAAATTAGATATAACGGATGAATCATTTAACAAAACATTTTATTTTAATGTTACGCACAATGCTATTACAAAAAAAAATTTAAAAAAGCTGGACTTATTACTTGTTTATTTACGGTTTGTTCACACTCAAATATATTGTAGACCAACCCCCATTGCTAGCTACTTGTTTTTACCTCCTAGCCACTGATCCTCCATCTTCTCCTCTCACGACCATTGATTTTGTGATTTTATCTCGTTTCTCTCTTTTTTTCCTTTTTTTTTGACAAGTTTTATTGGTTAGAGAGATAATGTAATCTGCGCAACTAATAGATTATTATCACGTCATCAAATCTTATCTCCAACAATCTTAAATTCTATCAAAATATACAATGCTTTTTTCTCTCTCTCACATAAGTCCGTGATTAAAAAAGAAAAAGAAAAAAATACCTTTCTCTTTTTTCAAATCTTTGCAACCTAAACAAAATTACTCATGCCAATCATACAACAATTATTCATAGGGATTCACTAATCAAAATCCTTTTTTTTTTATTTTGTTTGTTTATTAAGTGTGTTTAGCTTTTATTTTAACATCATTAATTGTCCGTTATAACTCTGTTTTTATTGTTCCCAGTACCATTGATGCTCATATGCTATGAATGACGTGGGTTTTATTGTCATCCTTATCTTTGTTTGTCTTTGGTGAGTTTGCTTTTTTTTGTTTTACCATTGGCTTTTGTGTCTTATATTAACAACTAACTTGGATTATTGCTTTCTTTGTTTTCCTGGGGTTGCTCTTGAGGCTCATAAGCTTAGTTTTTTTTCAAAAAATTTGTTGTTGTGTCGTAGCTACCTTATGTTGTTTGTAAGAGACTTTTAAGG